GAACGCAAAAGTTGGGAACAGGGAAAGAGCATCAGTAGCTGGAAAACACGGGCTTGGTGAGAGAAATGAGGCTGGATAGATAATGATAGAGTTCTGCACATTCAATGATTTATTCATTGCAAATACCTTTTATAAGAAACATAAATGCAGGCTATACACATGGATCTCACCTGATGGTATGCATAGGAATCAAATCCATTACATTTGTGGAAAGAGTCAGGGGAGAAGCTCAGTATCAGCAGTGAAAACTAGGCCATGTGCTAATTGTGGGACAGACCACTAACTACTCATATGCAAGTTTAAGCTGAAGTTGAGGAAAATTAAATTAAGTCCACGGTAACCAAGATTTGACCTTAAGTCTGTCCCACTCAAATTTCAAAACCATTTCAGGAACAGGTTTGAGGCCTTGAGCACCAATGTGCATAGACCAAATGAGCTCTGGGAGGATATCAAGAAAATCGTCCATGAAGAATGCAAAAGATCGTTACAAAGGCTGAAGCAGAAGAAAGAGCAAGATGGATGTCAGATGAGACTCTGAGTATTGCATTCGAGCGCCGAGAAGCCAACGCTAAAGGAAGAAATCAAAGAGCTATACAGAAAATTTCAAAAGGCATCTTGGGACGACAAAGCAAGAATGCATGTGCAGAGAGCTGGAGTCAGAAAATCAAAAGGGCTGGACTCACTCAGCATTTCTGAAGATGAAGGAGTTGAAAAACAAATTCAAGCCCTGGGTGGCAATACTTAAAGATAGTTTGGGTAGAAGGTTGAATGATCCAGGAAGTATCAAAAGAAGATAGAAGGAATACACAGAGTCACTATCAGAAGGAATTGGCTGACACAGAGAAAATTCATGAAATAACATATGAGCAAGATCCTATGGTGATGAAGGAGGACGTTCAAGTTGCTATCAAGGAATTGGCAAAAAAACAAGGCTCCAGGAGTTGACAGCATACCAATTGATTTATTTCAACAAACAGACGCTGCCCTGGATGTGCTCACTAAGTTGTGCCAGGAAATCTGGAAGAGATCGATATTTGTTCCCATTCCAAAGAAAGGTGGCCTAACAGAATGTGGAAATTATCGAACAATATCATTGATATCACATGCAAGCAAGATTCTGCTGAAAATTATCCAAAAACGTTTGGAACAATGTATCAACAGAGAACTTCCAGATGTGCAGGCTGGATTTAGAAGAGGTCGTGGTACTAGGGATATTATAGCTAATGTTAGATGGATCTTGGCAGAAAGCAGAGAATACCAGAAGAATGTCTATCTGTGCTTCATTGACTATGCAAAGGCTTTTGACTGTGTGGATCACAGCAAGCTATGGCTGACTCTGAGAAGAATGGGAATCCCAGAACACTTATGCAGGTGATACGACCCTGCTTGCTGAAACTGAGGAGGACCTGAAGCACTTGCTGCAGGTCAAGGACTGCAGTCTCTTATATGGATTAAAGCTCAACATCAAGAAAACAAAGATTCTCACCACTGGGCCAATTGGCAGCAACAGTATGGATGGTGAAGAGATTGATTTAGTTAACAGTTTTAGTTCACTTGGTTCCACAGTTAACACTCTTGCTAACAGCAGCCAGGAAATCAGGAGATGAGTTGTATTGGGAAAGTCAGCTGTGAGGGACCTCTCAAGAGTACTGAAGAGCAATGATGTCAGGCTGAGACTAAGGTGCGCCTGATCCAGGCTACAGTCTTTGCAATTATGTGTTATGCATCAGCGAGTTGGACAGTGACTAGGGATGATAGAAAGAGAATTGATACCTCTGAGCTGTGGTTCTGGAGAAGAGTGTTGAATATACCATGAACTGCTAGGAGAACAAACAGGTTTGTTCTGGAGAGGGTGAATCCAGAATGTTCCTTGGAATCAAGGATTCTGACATACTTTTGGAATGTTGCAAGGAGGGACTGGTCCTTGGAGAGGGACATCATGTTTGGGACAGTGGAGGGATGGTGCAGGAGAGGAACACCCTCGATGAGATGGATAGATTCTGTAAGTGGAATGGTGGGAATGAGTGTGTTTGAGACGGTGGGATTGGCACATAGAACTGCATTTAGGGCTCTTGTACATAGGGTTGCTATGAGTCACAAGCGACCTGATGACACATAACAACAACAATTCCCAGTACCAAGGTTGTTGTCTGTGAATTCAAGTGAGATTAAATAATTGACAATTTCTATCTTTTCTCCATGTAGTATGATGTTGCTTATTGATCCAGTGGTGAGAATTTTTTTTTTACTTGATGTTGATATAGAATCCAAACTGAAAGCTGTAATCTTTGAACTTTTGCAACAAATATTTCGAGTCCTCCTTGTTTTTAGTAAGCAGGGTTGTGTCATCTGCATAACACAGTTTGTTGATGAGTCCTCCTCACATTCTGACATCACATTCTTCCTTGTAAAGGCCAGCTTTTAAAATAAATTGCTTGTCTTACAGGTTTAACAAGTAGGAAGAAAAGATGTTGCTTTGACACACCCCTTTTCTTGATTTTAAACCATGCTTTATTCAGATAACAGCTTCTTGGTAGAATAGGTTTAGCATGAACCCAGTTATGTGTTCTGCAATTCTTATTCTTCTCAATATTTGACATAATTTTTTTATGATCCACACAAATAATTTTGCGTAGTCAAATAAATATAAGTAGGCACCCTGCTGGTATTCTCTCTTTTCAGTCATGATCTTTCTTCATTACTGCTGGTTCTCAATCATGTGCTACTCACTGAAATAGTTCAGCATTAACCAATCCTTTATGACACAGTATTTTTTATTCTTTCCATCTTCTTTTAATGTTTCCTGTGTTATTCTAGATTGTGTCCACTATTCAATATTATATCTTAGAATTTCCCTTGATTTTTTTCTTCATTTCTTTCAGCTTGAGATATGTAGAGTGCGCTCTGTTTTTTTATTTTCTAACTCCAGATCTTTGCACATTTCATTTTAATACTTTGTCTTTTTAAGCTCAGTTTTGTAGTTTTCTGTTCAGTGTTTCTATTTAATCATTGTTTCTATTTCATTTTAATATATCATGGATTGCTACAAGTTTGAATAAATAGTTTTTATAAGCAGTGCAGTTAGAATATTTTTTGGACAAAAACCGTAAATAAACATCATAGATTTTGAATATGCTATTACAAGGGGCTTTTCTTGGCACCAGTAGCCAGGAAATTAAAGGCGCATTGCCATGGGAAAGTCTGCTGTTAGGGACCTCCCCAAAGTACTGAAGAGCAATGGTGTCTCTCTGGAGACTAAGGTGCGTTTGATACAGGCCGTGGTCTTCGTAATCACTTGTAATGCATCAGAGAGTTGGACAATGACCAAGGAGGATAGAAGGAGAATTCATGCCTTTGAGCTGTGGTGCTGGTGAAGAGTATTGAGAATACCATGGACTGCTAGGAAAACAAACAGATTTGTCCTGAAAAGGGTTAAACCGGGTGGCTCCTTGGAGGCAAGGATTCTGAGGCTCCGTCTAACATACTTTGGACATGTTGTGAGGAGAGACCGGTCCTTGCAGAAGAACATCATGCTTGGCAGGGTGGAGGGACGGCGCAGGAGGGGAAGGCCCTCTATGAGGTGGATTGATTCAGTGACTGGGATAATCGGGATGGGAGTGTCAGAGGTAGTGCGATTGGCACAGGAGAGAGCAGAGTTTAGGGCTGTTGTACATAGGGTCTCTATGAGTCGTAAGCAACTCGACGGCACATAATAACAACAACATTACAAGGGGCTAGTCAGAGAAGAAATAATGACCCTTGATCAGATGGATTGACACAGTGATAGCAATGATGGACTATAAAGATAGAACAAAGATCTGTAGTTCCTATAATTAAAGAGACTCTTATATTTGCACAAATCCTTTAGTTTGCAATGATGGGTTTAAATTTAGAGATTATTAGGATGTTTAAGGATGGTAAGGTTTCAATCTGTTGAACTTAAGGTCACAATGAGTCAACTGATTGCCACCTAACAACAAAAACAAGACATTATTTTACTAAAAATTCGTATAAACTGCAGTATATGTAAGGCGTAACGTAAAAATGGAGCTTTGGTAGCCTAGTGGGTAAAGAGCTGCACTGTCAACTCAGAGGCAAGTAGTTTGAATCCACTACCTATTATGTGGGAAAAAGAGGGACAATCTCTTCCTGTGTGATTTATAACCTCTTAAAACCCACTGGAGTCCAGTCGGTTATGAATGGTTCCATCTCAACAGCAATGAGTTGAGATGAACATGTGAAAATTATAGGCTGCTGTTTTAAAATATTGAAATATTAATGGAAGTGTAAATGCAAATAAAAAATAAACGTGAAAATATATAATGTTATTAGCAATCAAAGATATGACATTGGGAATAGTTTGTGGTACTACCATTTTTCTGTTTGGCTGTCAAAATATACATAAAAGCTTTAGGGGTTGATGTTTTGGCATTGTTAACGTCACTCAAGGGATTTCATTTGGCAGTAACTGAAAAAAAAACCTTTGAATCAGTATTTTTCTTCACAAAATTTACCCTTCACAAAAAACCACAGATGTGAACAAAACTGTACCTATAGTAAGGCATAGAAAAATGTAATGACATGTGTAAGCTTTACCCATTTAGATAAATGTTAAACATTTGCCTCTACATTAATCATGAGCATATGCTATAACCATAAAATGGCATGTTTGAATTACAAAATAGCTTAAAACAATACAGAAATTATAGGTTAGTTTATTTGAGCTATATTTATATATTATTCTAAATATCTAGAAAACATCAGAAAGAAATATATCATACATTAATGCCACAGATCATTAATTAATTATAATTAATGTAAAGTTAATTATAATTTTCTTCCAATTTTCTATGTTGATAATTAAAAAATTAAGAGAGTATTTCCATTATGGATTGGGTGGTCTCTACTGCATATCACGTAAATAGTAACATATCCTTCAAATGCACTCTTAGATTAATAGAAGTTCTAAGAAATAATTCCACCTGTAATACTGTACATACAGAAGGTTCTGGTAGGTTTATTCTCTTGTGATCCCATTTTAAGGTGTCTGGATGCAATAGCTGCAAGAAAGAAGAGGGGGGAAAGATTTGAAAATTATAATGGATTTCTGTGCAACATCCTGAGCAAAAATAACTTATAAAAATGATTAGACTAATCCTATGTCTGGTAAGTGAAGTTGAATCTAAATCTGAAAGTAGCATTCATATCTTCAGAAAAATCTGATCTGTTTCTTAAGTCAGTATTTATATGAATATAAATATATAAGATCCACTGAAATGAAAATGCGTTTAAGCATAGTTCACTTATCTCCAACTATCCTCCCACTGTCCTCCCATGAAGTCTTTGCTAATGCAACTCACAGATGTTTTCTTCTTAATGATGGGTGGTTTTCTACAACTGGAATAGTAGTTAAGAGTGGCATACTCCATCAGAGCAGCAAAGACAAACAAGAAGCACACGGTCACAAAAAGGTCCATGGCTGTCACATAGGACACTCGGGGCAAAGACTTCCTTGCTATGGTGCTAAGGGTGGTCATGGTCAGTACTGTGGTAATGCCTGTATAGGAATAGAAACATTTATAAAGTTGTAAAAAGAAGCAAAAGGGAATAAAACAAAAGATCTACAGTTTCTCTACTTCAACACACTGTTTAATTTTTACAGAATCCTTCTTTAAATTGCATACTTAATTTAATATTTTCATTTTAATCTATGTGATTTTATAAATATTTTAAATAAGATTTTTTTAAACAGACTTCATAATGACATCAAGATGTTAACTTAACTTGACAATATATTCAGTCAATTATCCTTGTATATTTTGCCTTTTAAATATATTTTAAGTTAAGATATCCTTTGTAGAGCCCGCCATCCTTAATAATCCTGCGAATCGCCCGGTGCAGCAAATAGTTAAGGCCCCAATTAACTAAAATGTTGGCAATTTCATTCCACAAAGAAGTTCCTAAAATAAAAGATCTGATGATCTGCTGCTGAAAAAACACAGACTTGAAATTGTATGGAGCAATTCTACTCTGAATGAATGGGGTTGCCAGGAGCCAGAATCTAATTGACAGAGACGGGTTTGGTATTTTTGTTTGTTTATTTGTTCTATTTATTTGGTTTAATATATTCCAAGTTCTTAAACATCTCATAGTTTCACATCTACTTTTCTTATGTTCAAATAAAATCCTTTCTTTCTTGCCTATTATTCCATATCCAAACTATAACTTTTTCCATTCTTCCATATCTTGCTGAAGCACCACTTCTTTTTGAAGATCCTTGCATCATAACACCCCAGGAAGATTAATATTTTGTACTATAAGTATTATCAGTGAATCTTTTAAAAAAGTCTTTTTTTCAACATTATCTCTGAGAATTGTCTATACCTTTGCATGCTAGTATGGCAAACAGATTGTGTGACCAACAAGAGAAAAACTGTACCTTGCTCCTGTTACCTAACATTTGTTACCGCACATTAGAGAGACATTCAATGAATGATTGACAACTAATTATTGATAATTTAATTTTAAAGGAGCTCTGTGTTGCACTACCAATCCAATGCAGGTGGTTTTGAGAAAGATAAGCAAGGATGGGCAATCTCTTTCTATGTGATTAAATTGCCTCTGAAAATCCTCTCAAAGTCAGCTATAGGTCAATTCCGAATCAATGGTACACGACTTTGCAATTTACAGCCTCTGAAAACTTGCTGGAAGTTTAGTTATGAGCTAGTTCTGTCTCTAGAACAAAGAGTTAGTTAATTGAATGAATGAATGAATGAATGATATATGGTATTGATCTGATTTTATTCCAATACGAAGTCAGCAAGTAAAATTTAGAAGATGTGAAAGAAATTTCAAAAGGAGACATACATATCATTTACAAGGAGAAATAACTGAGAAAATCTGAGAAAAGAAATGGAAATTATTGAACATGAAGGAAAATCAATACATATTCTGTATATTAATTTTTTAAATCTACTTTTGTAATAATTTTTAATGAAAATTAAACCCTTTAATCATTATGTACTGACCTTCGTTGTCCTTTGTGCCAGTTTTTGCATTTAAATTTATTTTATCTAATATAGCTACTCCTGCTTTTTTCTGGTTGCCATTTGCTTGGTATATTGTTTCTCACACTTTCATTTTTTTTTTAGTCTTTCTTTATCTTCACTTTTCAGGTGAGTCTCTTGTAGACAGCATATTGACAGATTTTGTTCTTTTAGCTTATCTGCTACTCTTTTTCTCTTTAGTGGTGGTGCATTTATACCATTTACATTCAGTGTGATTATTTAGAGGTAAGGTTTTATTGCCATCAGTTTGTTGAGTTCTTTTTGGTGTGGTTGCTGGTTACTTTGATCCATTCTGCTTTCTGTGGCATCTCTATAAGAAGGGCATCTCTCAGTGTTTCCTGCAATGCAGGTTCTTGATTTTATAAACTCCCTTAGATTCTGTTTTTCTGGGAATATCTTGATATCTCCACATTTAATGGACAAGTTTTGCTGGGTACAGTATTCTTGGTTGAAAGTTGTGTTCTTTGAGTGTTCTATATGTGCCATTCCACTGTCTTCTTGCTTACATGGTTTCTGTTGAGATTTTGGCACTTAATCTCTTATAGGCTCTCCTTTAATTGCTTGTTTCAGAATTATCTCCTTATCTTTGATTCTGGCATATTTGACTATGGTATGCCTTGATGCTTTCCTTTTGGGATCAATTTTATATTATGTTCGCTCACCTTCTTGAATATATAGTCTCTCTTCCTACATTATGCCTGGAAAGTTTTATTCTAGTAATTCTTCCACAATCTTTTTGGTGTCTTATTTCTTCCTGTTCTGGGATTCTGATTATGTTATTTCTCTTGATGGTGTCCCACATTATTCTTATATTTTCTTCCTTTTTGGTTCTGCCTTTTGTTCTATCAATGTTCTATCAATGGTGACAATTCTATTTTCTATTTCACTGCTTCTATGTTCCATCAGCTCTGTTCATGTGTCCTTCCATCACGTTGACAATATCTGAAACATTGAACCTCATATTTTGGATTGTTGCTTCTTGTTTTTCCAGAGTCTCTAATGCTTTGTTTATTTTATCTGCACTGTTTTGGATTGTTTTTTAAAGCTCTTCCTGGTTTTCACTTGTTGTGTCCTGTAATTCTTCAAGTTTGTCTTTCACCCATTGAAAATATTCAATGATTGTTCTTTTAAATTCTGTGCCAGAAAGTTCCATCAGACTTTCTGGCTTCAGGAAACCCATTGACACTATGTCACTTATTGGGGGTGACATCTTGCTTTGGGCATGTGTAGTGTGTGAGCTAGCCTGCTTTTTACATGACATTGCTGTGGTATAGCTTTTTCATGCCTGAGGCAATAGCTGGTTCTTGATCTGAAGTCACTGCTCCAGAAGAGGGTTGAGCAGGTGTGCTGCATGTGTGGATGGATGCACATGGGTGGGGGCACACGTGCAGACGCACATGCGGGCAGGGAGGCAAGCATATAGATGCATGTGAGGGGGTTGTACATGGGGACATGAATGAAAAACCAGGAAGCCTTGGTTTTCTCCTTGAGAACTGGGTCTGCCACAGCAGTTGAGTTCCATCTGTCTCACTCCCTCCTGCTTAATGTGAAGGGATCCCATGTGGTCCAGCAGTAAGTAGTGATCCCTCCAAGTACATCACTCAAATTCCCACTGTCCTGCTTGCTTTTGGCAGGTGGGTCCTGCTGTAGCTCACTGCTCTCCACTGAGGCTCACTACTCCCCACTGCAGCATGTTGCTCCCTGCCAAGGTTTGCTGCTCCCCACCGAGGCTTGCTGCTCCAGCAGCTCCTAAGTTAATTGTTTTACTAATAGTTTTCACAAATTCCAGCTGTCCTGCTTCCTCCATGCGTGTTGCTCTGCCTGGATCCACTTTTCAAAATAATACTATTTGTTTCCTTTAATAATTTTGAAGTTGTATACTATAAATTACAATATTTACCTTCGTTGTTGTTGTTATGTGACTGCGACTCATAGCAACTCTATATACAACAGCCCTAAAATCTGCTCTAGCCCTTGCCAATCTTATTGACTCTGACACATCTATCTCCATTACCCCAGTGACTGAATCAATCCATCTCATCAAGGGTCTTCCTCTCCTGCACTGTCCCTCCACTCTCAAGCCTGACATCCCTTTCCTAGAACTGATCCTGCTTTGAAACATGTCCAAAGGAGCAGCCTGGCTTCACCCTCTCCAGGATGAACTAGTTTGTTCTTCTTGCAGTCCATGGTATATTCAATACTCTTCTCCAGCACCAGAGCGCAAAGGCATCAATTCTTCTTCTATCATCCCTAGTCATTGTCTAACTCTCTGATGTATAGCAAGTAATTGCCAAGACCATGGCCTGTGGAGCAGCACATTTACTTTAGAAATTACTGTATTAATTGCTGGGAAAGAGATTGCCCAATTTTCGCTGTTGGAGCAGCTGGTTAATTTGAACCACATGACTTTGAGTTGTCAACACAACTTCTTATCACTAAGCCACAAGAGTTTTCTCTATATATACACATTCATAATTTATCAAATCCAAAGTAAACAAAAATCTTCAATAATCCCACCACAAGGACTTCAAAACACATTAATGACATGTACCCTTCCCTCTAATAACATATTATTATTTTATGTATTTTAATTTTGTATTACCTTCTGTTAGGAGTCCTGCTGTGTAGAGTGTTGTACTGTTAACCAAAAGTCTGTGTCTCCAGTGGTTTGGATACACTAACTGCTTCTTGGGAGAAAGAAGAGCAGGCTTTTCTGTTTCAGAAACATGACGGGCAGTTGTTATGAGTTGGGACCAACTAACTCAAAGACCGAGTTTGGGTGTTTTGTTTTGTTTTTAAAAAACATACTGCAAAATGATGCTAACATTGTGCTATATAGACTATTATCCACGCTGAAGTAAAAGAGATGAACAGAAGATTCCAAAGGGTTGCACAAGAAGACAAAGCACGTATTATGATGGAGTATGTGAAGAGCTGGAAAAAACTCACTCAGCATTTCTCAAATTGAAAGAACTGAAAAACAAATTTTGAAGTTGCAATACTGAGATACCCTCTGGGAAAAATTTTGAATGACTCTGGAAGCATCAAAAGAAGATGGTAGGAATACATGAAATCACTTTTGACACTGAAATATTTTAAGAAGTGATAAGGAGCTGTGCTGTCAACCTGAAGGAATATGATTTAAAAAGTGATAATTGTTTGACACTGAAATATTTCAAAAAGTGGTAAAGAACTGTGCTGCAAAGCTGAAGTAATATGATTTAAATCACCAGCTGCTCTTCAGGAGAAATATGGGAAATATCCTCCCATGGGATTTATTGTCTCTGAAAACTCACTGGAGGGTCAAATATCTGTTAGTTCCGACTCAATGGTTCATAACAACAACAGCAACCCCATATGATCAAGAATCAATGGTGATGAAAGAAGTTCAAGCTGCATTGAAGGCATTGACAAAAAATAAGGCTCTAGGAATGGGAAAACAGCAGCTGACATGTTTCAACCTATAGGTGCATCCCTGTACATGCTCAGC